GACTGCTCTTGTAGTTAAATACTGGGTAATGGATCGAAGGTTCGGACCCCGACATCTTACTGCACATGCTCTTTTTTTTTCAGCTGTGGGGTGTTACAACTGTGACGTTCAATCCTGCTATTTGGTCAATAGTAGCCGTGTTAGCGATGGATGATACTGACTAATTTGCTCTCATTCTGATCGGCAGTTCTAAAGTAGAAATAACTATGCTTAAACCGTGGGGTCCCTTACCTTGCCATTCGCCCCATGTGCTGTGTAAGTCTCCGGTCAGGTTGGGTTTGGGCGTGGCCTAGTTGTTAACGTCTTGGACTGTGAATCCGAGTGTATATGGTTCGCGACCCTTTCCGGAAATCCACAATCTGCACTTTCGGGTCTATAATGAGTTATAAAAGTAACAGTCACATCCCACTATCAGATTATGTTAGCCTAAGAGTTGGCGGTGGGTGCTGTTGATTAGCTGCCTTTCCTATAGTCTGTCATTTCAGTAGTGCAAATATCCCAAGTTAGGGAAAGCATGTAGGTTGAAATTATAAAAGTACGTAACAAACACGCTATAGTCACGATGAACAAACTAGGTTACATTAACAGATAGTCTTTAGTTAATTTCTCTCAGGCGCCATGTTGTGAGAATGCAGACGGTCTTGTATGGATTTTGTATGTCTTTTGAAAGACAGCATCATTATTTCCTTTACATATTGTGTCATAGCAATTGCTCGAATATATTATGTATGATTGTGTGACAGTATTAACTGACTGAGGAATTGGACATAATATCCTATAATGTTCGTCGCCCCTCAGATAGTGTATCCCTTTTGGCCAAGTCAAAGTTAAGGTACTTTTTAAGCTCTTTCTAAGACTGAAGACCCCCTTCCCCCCGTTATAAAGATCGCCTCTGGTCCCCTCATCATTCGTGGCTTTTTTTCACACATGTCAGAACTGTTCAAATCTTGGAAATCACGCAAACATAGTGGTAAGTAACATCTCATTTTGTTGTTACCAAATCAGAAGTGGGAAAGCTATGGTAACGTTATTAGACAGCTAGATAAACATCAACTATATCACATAGAACCATCGGGAATCGCTAGTCCTCACCCCAGGGGCTCAGTTCTGGACTTTAAAACACCACCAAGAATGATTATCAGGAACGATTTCATAAAGACAAAGTTTTATGTGTCAGGTTCAAAATAGAGAAGGCCTGTAACTGATCACACAACTCGTCTGTACCCTTTTTTTAGGTTTCCAGAACTGATAGCAATGCAAATAGACATTGGTTGCCCTTCACAGATGAGTCAAAGTTTTATGTGTCTACAAATTATTGACGAGCTCATGTCAGAAGAGTATAGGTTGTGTAGGGGTGGGCGATATGTTCAACGTAATATAGTCGAATATGACCATTCTGGTGAGGATTCAGTTATGTATAGCGTCAATGTGAATGCTTGTCGATATATATTGACTTAGTGTTTAACTTTTCATGAGTGAAATAAGCCCAAACTTTGTCATGGAGCCAGGTTTATGGTGAATTACATTGAATATAAAACTATAAAAGTTGTGGATATCCATAAAAAGTCCTTATCTAAATCCTCTGGAACTTCTTTGGGTTTTGTATACGTCACACCTCAAAGAGCCATGCAATGCTTTGATTGGGGATTTTACCAAGAAGAGGCCCTAGTAATGTCGACTGTCCCGCATATCCAACACTGTCAATGACAGGGTGTCCTATAGTTATTATGGGGTATATATTTTGGTCTTTTACGATTCTTTCGGAGAATTTGATTCAGTCTGACTCAAATACACTGCTGTCAAACAGAAAAGCGCCAAGTAGCCGAAATACAGCAGGTTCTGAGAATGTTATGTAGAGAATAATTTCGAATACAAACAGCAAAGTTGTAAGACAAACCCAACTGCACAAATAGGCAAAATATATATTTACAATCAGTGTGTGTGTGAGCTTTTAATTCATTGGCTAGACTTTAGTTTAGTTGTTGAGTGCATAGCTGCTAGGTCACAGAAAAGGGGGTTTCTCGCTTCTACACACGACAGAGACAAGGTCAAGAATAGTAACGATACCCCACTTTCAAGTCTGAACAACAAGACCTTCGTGCAGTATTCTCGAGTCCTTAAATTACTACGTCAGCTATCATTCCTAGTATACATATTCAAACGATAAACCCTCCTAACTCAAGCTAATTTGTATAAGTCTCTATAGCACCTCTCAGTATGAGTATGATCTCACTTCAGGAGGCCATGATAGAAACAGCGCCAAACAAGCATAAGCCTCACAGAACAATTGTACTATGTAACCTTTTTGTAAGGTAGAGGCTAAGTTTATGACTTTCGTACTTCTGGTTTACAGGAGCGGCACTAACTATATGCAAAACATCTGCTCGAAAATTAGAAAAAAAACAAAAAAAACAATAACTATAAAACGCCTAAATAAAAACGTGAAACCTGACGACGTAATAAGTCTTTAATTTTAACTATTGTGTAATTAGAGGGTTCTCATGTTCACGGGTTCTAACTAATAAAATACTGTGACAACTGAATGAATGAACATTTCTTCTGAAATATCTTTTAATTCCATTTTTCTTGTTTACTTGGTGTATAAAATAACTTAAATATAGAACCTTGTTCCTTTAATTCTTTTTTTTTAGTAGTTTATTGTTTAAATGCTGATACAGAACACATACGCAACAATTTTTATAATGCAGAACACATTCACGTATTTTGTTACCTACACAACACATCTTACAACTGCTGCTCAATATATTCTGAAACCTAAGAAAATCACCCTCACGTTTTTATCGAATAAGCTTCTCACCTACTTAAAAAGGCCCGGCATGGCCAGATGGTTAGGGCGCTCGACTCGCAATCAGAGGGTCGCGGGTTCGAATCCTAGTCCCACCAAACATGCTCGCCCTTTCAGCCGTGGGGGCGTTATAATGT